TGTTGAAGGGACATGAAAATTTGTTTTATATCTATCACTGCAATGAAATACGAATCAAAATGGTTCTGCTTACCATAATGCATTTGGAGTTGGGACACTGTGAACTTGTCTATGAATAGATATATGTTTCCTTAGTTGTCGATTAATAGGATCCACTCTGTTAATGGAGGCACGAATTCTTGGATCTTTGTACTCTAACATTTTGAGACACTAGTGCTCCTGTTACCATTCGTTCTCCAGAATTTGGGGAGGTTCCAAGTATCAAGCTTATTGTCCTATCTAGTTCTTCATCTGTGATGTTTGAATAATTATTCTCACATACAGGCAAATCAGAGTCTATACGACGACGACGCAAAGTTTTCTCTGAAACACCTAACATTTCTGCGATTTGTTTCCATGTAAAATTTAAGGATCGAAGGCCCACCAACTGCCTTTCAGGAATTAAGAACCTTGGTCTTCCTCTTCGACGACTTCCTCTTTCGTATCCACAGGTGTAACGACTGTTCTCGGTAGGAGCAGTTTCAACTCGTTCTTGCAGTATGTCATGCATTCGTTGAAGTTCTATAATCAGGTTGCACATATCATCAGCAATGTAAGTGTCCCCAACTGGCCTTGACCAAAGAGAATTTCCTGATAATATTGATAAACCATCGATGAATGCAGTGCATCGTTGGCATAAAACATTTGCGTAGTCATCCTCTGCAGTAAATAAATTTCGCTTTAATTCGATAAACATATCTTTCCCAACCGCGAGATATGATAAAACATCGTTAATGAAAATAGATATTTCATTTTCCATCGCCATATATACAGGTATATTATAATGATTTTATATTAACATTATAATGCCATTTTGTTTGTTTAGAATTTGATTGTGCGCCTGCAATCGGTCAGCGGCTTATTGTGCGCCCGCGATCGGTTTATATTTTGAAATCGATTTATATTTCGAAATCGGTTTATATTTTGAAATCGGTTTATATTTTGAAACCGGTTTATATTTTGAAATCGGTTTATATTTTGAAATCGGTTTATATTTTGAAACCGGTTTATATTTTGACACCGGTATATATTTCCATATTGGTTTATGTATTTACTGTTTCAAGTATTATATTTTTGAAAGAAGTATTAATTTTCAACAAGATATATTATATTTCTAAATGAAGTATTATATTTTCAAATGAAGTATTTTTGTCCGCTTTGGCGCGTCATATAAGTGACCCCCCGTTCGAAAGGTTATAGTGTGAGGATTTCAATGGTGGCATTTATTTAAAAGGGGGGTAAATACTCGCCGAGATATTTATATTAGAAAAATTGAATCGAAATGTAATACGAAACCGGCCTGTCGAGAAATATGTACCAGCCTTTATTTTTGGGTTCATATCATTTTACACTAGCCTATATACACATACCATATGTTGCTGGGACAGAAATTTCTCTGACCATTTCTTCACCCATCTTAAATTTTGTGTAGGTAACATATGGAGTGCCTTTCTTGGGCATCTTTGTCTCCCTATGGGTATTCTCATTAAAGTGCAGGCATGCTAGGATGTGCCTAGGGGTAAGAAAGTCACTATTAGTCATATTGTCAAATTACTCTATTTCTATCAAATATAAGTGGTTTTTGCATAAGTATACTGACGAGTAGTTATTGAGACTGGTTACTAACTTTCAGTACTAACCGTACTTCACCTGCAGTATGTCCCTAACCAAGAAAAGCAAATCATCTTGGGATGCCAATGGTTCAACACTGAATGGACACCTGAGGAGCTAGTTTGGACCACAGGTGAAAGTTTCTTGATATCTTTGACTAGGGTTTTCTTTGTCAGAATATTTTTCAGTTTCTGGTAGGGTTTGGATCCTATGAAAGATAGAAAACATTGAGATGTTAAAAATCCAGTTGAGATATCACACTCCTGGACACCAAGGAATGTACCATGTTACCACGTACCAACTTTACTCAACTTCTTAGTTTCCGTAATCTCACCATGATGACACTTGTCATACAATCATGCTCATTATTGACATGCCTCGTGCCACTTGACATGCCTCATGCCACTTTGCTTCTATAAGGGCTGAAAACCCAGGCTTGGAAGATGCAGCACACCAGTATATATGATTTCTGATGGATTTCGCCCACTCTTTATATCTCGCAGCCTTTCTCTTTGCTTGCTTTCAACACTTTCTTCACAGTTGACTTTGCCTGGTGCCAGATATCATAATAGTGTGTAGTATCCTTCTGACTAGTTCTCATCCATTTACCTATTCCACGGTGGCGATCGAAAACAAACGTCTTAAGTGGGAGCTTCTCCTCAAATGAGCGCTTGGCACCTTCCAACTACATTTATTACTACTTCCAACCTCATTGGCCTGTAAAGATAAGGTAATATGATGAGTTATTTCATTCAATACACCCTTTTGTTATTTACATTACAAATACTTCCCTGACCTGGGAGCTTCGCTTCCATAAATCGACAAGAAATGCAATTCACTCACTGGCACGAGAATGAGACTCCTGGGCCAAGGAGAGACTTGTGATGTAATTATAGAAAGGGTTTACTCCTTAAATCATATCTAGGGTCTTAAGATTTTACTCTTTGGATTGTGTATTATTTTCCTAAATACGGTACAGCATCAAAATGATCAATTCAAAATACCTGAAGTAATTCGAAGTGCACAAGTTTGGTCAGATTACAATTCAACATTCAATGTCCCATGCTATCGAATCTGCCATCTCCAGCCCAAACAGTATCCTTTATTCCCTTTAGTTGTTTGATTAATACTGCCCGGGATTTTTCCCAGTATTGCAGTATTAATGGGAACATAAACTTCCTCTGATGGTAGAAGAAAGTCCTAGCACAGTATATTTTAAGGCCCATGCGCCTAAATAGCAGCAAAACTTTACTAATCGAGGATTCAGACATGAGGGTTGCAAAACTCAGCAAGATATTGCCAGCAGGATACTTCCCCAGCACCAGTTGTTGGCTCCTCCACATACAGCCTCTGCATGTTTGTTCCACTATTGCCATTGTTCCATGGACTTTTACATTAACACTTGGCGACCGTGCCTTGCATTTGAAACAGAACAATGAAAACAAGAAACCAACATACTGTAGAACACAATAAATTTTGGTTCTCTATCAGCCAATCTGAAAGAGAAGGCAACCAATTAGTATTTTTTCAGAGTTCTGGAGAATATTGTGAGTACAGGGTAGGTCTATATTGTGGATGAATGAAGACCTACCTCGCATCCTGTGATGCATTATCGTTGTCTTCCGTTTCGTCAAGCTTGTCATCATCTGATGCGTCAGTTGTTTCTTCCTCCTCCATATTTGCATTCCAGTCAGGATCTTTCAGTGTCTGACCCAAATGTCCTCCGAGTTATCTCCCATTAACCAATCTTCGTAATCCCAAGCTTCGTCCAAGATACCAATATCTTCACCTGTCTCGTTTTCTGCTTCGCCACTGCTACTCTTGCCTCCCGAGGACAACTCTTCTCGCAAAGATTCAATTGTCTAGAATGAGAAATACAATAAATCAATTACATGGCTCAAAATTTCCAACGTCCACGGTTCGTGGTTCCTGGAAGTGACAGACTTTTGTCACCCACAAGCACGCCAAATTCACCAGTGCATTTTTGCTCCGGTAACGTCAGTGAATGCTCATTATTATTCTGTACTAACAACGCCAAAACAATAATGAACTAGTAAAATCGACATGGTGAATGCGCACTATGTCATAATTGATTTTCGCGCCAAATTTTTCAGTAAGATTCAAAATCAGGCAAGTGGCACAAGTCGCTCGCTTCCATCTTTCTCAAGTGCTCCCCCTTCTTGCTACGCGCGGTCCCTAGGGAGATTTCTCAAAGTGCACTGAGCATATTACTGACAAATTCGTAGGAGTAAAATTCGGCTGATGTTTTCGTACAAATTTTAATCATATTTTCCGCTGTTCTTCATTTGCAGAAAACTTATGTATTGATATCCCTTCAACGTGATTTATATCCGTGCAAATGCGCAATCCAGACCTTTGCAAATGCAAAATTTGCCCCTCTTCGCTCCCTTCATGGTGGAAGCCATTCTTGTTGAATTCGAAATGCATAGTAATTCAGACTGCACGCACTGCTTTTATACGGTTAGATAGTACAGATGCAGACAAGATTGCGTGCAGGTGTGAGTTTCGTGACGTTGGGGAAATGCAGTAGCCAAGCCTAGATGCGCTATGTCTGTCACGCAAAACATGCATGCGTTTCTTCCTGAGGTTTTCTAGAGGTGAGATAAATACTAATCAAATTCCGGTCTATTTCGTGTACAAAAACATGCAACTAGATGTAATAGATGCTCAATGTGAACTTAACGAACAGTTGTGAGTGAACGTAAATTAATAAAGTAGAGCCCATCATTAGAACCAGCTAAAAGTCCTATAAGATCCTTTAACGCTATCGTATTTTATCACACTATATATGCAATTCAAAATTTGTTTGTTTTCGAATGGTCATGTTATGGCATGTCAGTAAATGTAGATACTTAGTATTAATTTCCATATTATGCTTACACTAGTTACTACAATGTTTGGCATAATTAATATTAGCTACAGACTATCTACATAAATTGCAGTCTGAAACCTACAATGTAATGTACAGACATATATAGTCCATATTCTCTGACCAAAAAAGTTGCCAAGAAAACGATTTTTGTTGTCCACATTCGGGCACTAAATTCTTTTGACATATTTCTATAGATTTTTATATGCTGAGTTTGAATTCAGTTGTTGTCACTTGCACAAACCTGCAGTTTTCTTGTATTTTGTGATGAAACATCACAAATTTTCACTCCCTGAAAATCGAAAGCTGCCATTTTGCTTTGAGGAAACTTCATGTTATAAAATTTAAATGTACCAGTTTGAGTCCTTTCTACTCGGATTTTTAATGCGGTTTATTACTCTGGGGCCAGCTGTTCAAAGCTGGGTTACCACTAACCGCGGATTAAAATTTAACCCACTGTTTTGGTTTTTTTATTTCTGTGTGTCTGTTTATTTCAAACCTTCAGAAAATAAAACCTAAATTGATCTAAAAAAGATTCCTGTAAAAATATTTCCAAAATTTATGAAAAAGCAGTTAAAAGATTGCTTTGAATTTCATGCTAACCCTGGGTTAAGGTAACCGGCTTTTGAACAATTGGCCCCTGATGATATGTGGTCACAGGTTCCACTAGGATATTCTCTTTAAGAGTTAAGCAATAATTAGATATGTGTTTTCTAATTGTGGTGTTATTTAGCACATCTGTAAACTATTTCATTGCCTAATATCACATTTAATGATATCCTCTGTTTGGTTTGGTATAAATATAATTATAGACGAAATGCGCTAGATATTTTAGGGGTTTTACACATTATATATCAATATTTACGCTCTAGCGCATTTCATGTACGTATAAGTGTGACAAAATAGTTTACAGCTTTACAACATAACAGCACGGTTAGATGACAAAAATCTACTTTGGAGCGCTGACAGTACTACAAAAACTTACATGACATGACTCCATCATCAACCAATAATCCGATAAATTTCGTGATAAACACAAATGTTTCCAGTTACAGTCCACGACCCTTTAAAGAGACTTAATAAAAATCACACTCTCCGCCAAAAACTAGCATTCATCATCAGATATATCACCGTCGGTTTCTGATCACATTTAGTAGAATTAAGATAAGGAAATTGTCCTTCGGTCTCCTCCAAATTATGTTCTTCATCTTGACCATTATGACAGTCTTTGCACCTACATAGATTGGTACATTGCAGGCCAGATTTTAAGCCGCCGCAGTGTTTTGTCTTACAACCCGATTGGCATTTACCAATTGAAATATTCGAGAAGGGACTCTGGAGCAGAGGAGCGAGTCGTCCACACAATTTCTAATTGACCATCCTTCAATTTCCATCCATTTCCAGCTGCAGGGGAAAGTTGTAATCGGGCTAGTAGGCACTGATTCCACACAAGTGCTTGAAAATTTTCTATTTTAATGTATTGCCGAAGGCTGTCACTGTCTGGAGGAAGAGCATCATTGGAATACTTGCCTGACTTAAAAAGCTGGTATCTGCACTCATCAACACATGTTGATGTCTGATCGCCATAAAGAAGACAGACAAATGTACCCAGTGACATGACAAGCTCATCGGATACTTCAGCTGATCTTCTGAGAAAAAATTTCCACGAATATCGGATTCATTTGCAGTGCCTTCCAAGGTTTTACTTTATAAAAAACAGAAAGAAAGAAACTGATAAGAAATGAAACCGATTTAGTTGTCTAAAAATAACTGATTTATATTTTGGCAAACATTGCCTATGTATTAATTATACCAGAAAAAGCATGGAATCCTGGCAAACATGTGCGTAACTCTTCACCAAGTACATTCAATATTGACGAAATACCGATTAGATGAAATTTGTTGCCAGTTCCTGTCATCATAAGAAGTTCCTTGCCAATGGTCTTCTGCATAGCAATACAAAGTACAAACACATCTGTGTCTGGTGATTTGATGATGATATGTTGATGAGAAAGTACTGCAGCCTTGTAGTGAAGGAGTAATCACGTATCTGCTTCTTTGTGGTCACACGCCAGCTGAGGGACTTCTCGTGTTGAAACATGTTCGGTTTGGGTGGTACCAGATGTGATCAACCGGCATTTCTTTTTTCTGGTTACGTATATACAATCTAGATGGCTTAGAGATGAGGAAATGTAACTACTCCAATCATCACATAGGAACACGATTAACGATTCCTTGTTTTGGTCGTTCTGATGCTGAATTGCATGCAAAGTTCGAGGATAACTCGGGGGAGAATTCCTATAATTGAAAAGGAAACATTGTAATACTGGAGAGCCTCAACGTTTCGAACTAAGGGCCTTTGCTGAATACCTCTGGTAATTTTTCTGGCAGTTATATCTATTTCCTATAAATGATACATGTATTAGAAAAACTGTATTTGTGATTAATAATTATCAACACATATATTTGTAAATATAGGGGAACAAAACCTTACCCGTCATTTTTATGTACATGCTCCAATAAGCGAATGTCTTTGATTTTGCTGACATTTCGACGATAAAACGTTCGTACTGCTGGACTAGATTATCAAACTTTTGACATATCCCGGAACATCTTCATTAAAAATCGAGTCACTCATATCTGCAATGAGCGAATATATGCCATGCAGAACACCTTCATCCAGTGTGTCCAGAACAGCTTCTAGGCGAAGACGTTGGAATGCCTTGTGCACCACTTTATGACAAGATACCAACCTGTTGTAATGTTTGCCTGAGAAAACACCTTTAATTGATCCCTCACCAGCTAGCCCGGACTCGATGAATATGTCCTAACAAATAAAAAATATAAATTATCATTTAAATAAGTAATAGCTTATAGAAAATATCTACCAGTTAAAAATAACCTACATAAGCGTTTTACCATGGATAATCTGGGAGACATTGATTGCTTACAGTTTTACTGAGTACATGGTAAATTCACTAACAGATGATGTATAGAGAATAAACTTACCTTCAAACCAATTCCACCCACACAAAGCTATGATTTTCATAGTGTTTACATATCGAACGATCGCACTGTGTCACACTGTATATGTCACTGGCCGTGCGATGGAATGTCTGGAATTTCGCCAGTAGATAGTCCAAAAATCGAACTTTAATCGTAAAATTAACAAACTTCTGGTTTGAATTTTTCAACAAGGTTGGTATTTTTATGATCAGAAAAGACCAAATTTTCAGAAAATGCAAAAAATCTGATATCAAAATTTTCATTTCATATACACTTTAAACAGCTAAATACAAAGAAACATGAAGTAATTATACTGGGTGACATGAATATTGATTTTCTTAAATATAGTGAACATTCAAATACAGAAGAATATTTAGATATGCTTTACTTAAATAATTATATTCCTTTAATAACCAAACCAACTAGAATAACAGACCATTCTAAGTGAGATTGATAACTTAAATACAAATAAAAGTGCAGGACATGATAATATAAGTGCCAAAATGATAAAAACTATAAAACAAGAAACCTGCAAACCTCTTGCACATATTTTCAATTTAACGTTTGATACCGGAGTAATCCCGGAATCACTAAAAATAGCTATCGTTACTCCTATTTTTAAAGCAAACGAAAGATACCTGTTTGAAAATTACAGACCAATTTCAGTTGTCACATGTTTTTCAAAACTACTTGAAAAAATAATGCATAAAAGACTAATTTCATATATTGAAAAAAAAAAAAATTATCTAAGCATCAATATGGTTTCAGGAAAAATCGGTCAACTGAACATGCTATAATTTAACTGACAAAATTTCAAAAGCTATAGATGATGGTAAATATACAATTGGTATTTTCCTTGATCTATCTAAGGCTTTTGACACAGTTAGCCACGATATTCTCCTAAAAAAACTTGAACATTGTGGCATAAGAGGAAATTGTCTAAAATGGTTTGAAAGCTACCTACATGAAAGAATGCAAATTGTTAAATTTGGTCATCATAAATCAAACAAATTGATTATATCTACAGGAGTTCCGCAAAGCTCTATTCTTGGGCCACTACTTTTCCTGTTATATATTAACGATATTGAAAACTGTAGTAAAATTATATCCTTTGTTATGTATGCTGATGACACTAATGCATTTCACTCTGACAAATGCTTAAAATCATTAACACATGTT